ATATCATGCCATTGCTCCAGAATAATAAATCGTCAATCAACTATACAACAATTAAACTAACTCAAGAGAAACAAATACAATACAGCAAGTTAATCCCACCATTGACACCAGTTCCTACATGATTATTTCGTACAAAAATTGCTGAACAAAAAAAGATCAGCGCAAATTCATTTAAATTTATGTATCATACAAGAATACTAAATCGTAAATCTATAGCATGTATGTGATACACAACCAACTACGAGTCAAGAATAAATAATGATTTTTGGTACTTACATAACTAATATGGGTCTAGTCATAGTACAAAAACTCAAGAATTCAGAATGTTGACTATTATTGTGCATTACGTAATTTATATAAATACTATATAAAATCAGTATTAACAAATGGAAGGAGAAGTACGCAATTTATTGCACAATTACATAGAAAATAAGGGACTATGAAGTGTGAAGACTTGCTGAGAAGAAATAATGGTAGCAAATATATTTTAAGGCAACAAACAAAACTCAAAACCTATCACATATCAACTTTACTGCGCCTACCTGTCATCTAGACCAAATCCCATATCTTGGTGTGTTGTTTAAAATACACACACACATATAGGCTTAGAAACATACCTCCAATTGAAAATGGCAAGAAATTACAGCCTACTGGATATGCATCATGCTACTGTATCCAGTGATAACCTACAAAACTTACACAATAGATGCGGTGCTCAAAAAATAATCAATCTTAAATTAAGAGAACGTAAATGAATGAAATCTATAGTTATCATTATCAATCTTGTTGGCAATCCATGAAATAATTTGAAAAATCTTAATTACCTCATAGTGTTGTGCACAATACATCATGATAGCATCACTGTCATACATATCACTTCTAGAATCTTGGTGTGCTGCTAGCGAAAAACTGAGAGTTACAAACTAAATTTCAATAGATAACTATAAAGAATCACCAATTGAATATGCATCATACTGTTATATCTCACAAAAAATTGTTAAAAACAGGGAACATAATGTGGTGCTCAAGAAATATGATTTATTAAAATAAGGGATTGCAAATGATTGCAATCTAAATCCTGCAATCATGAACCTTGTTGGAAAATATGAACATTCATTGACTTTACAAGATATTCAAAAGCTCAATAACTTAAAATGCCCAATACACAGAGAAGGAAACGACTGAAAAATAATAATCCTACAAATTAGTTGAACGTAGTTGGCTATCCGTGAAATGCCTACTTAAAGAATATTGAGTTTATAATTAAAAAAAATCAACTTATAAGACATAGCATTCATTGAGTCCCATATTAATTCACATTGGTCGATAATAAGACATAGAAACCATAATGATATCATGCAAAATTCATCATCTTGCACCCTTTTGGAATGGACTTTACTATATGCATTGAATAAAACATATGTTCCAATACATATGGCTCATACACTAATTCATTCAATAAATTACATGATAAGGAAGAAATTAGTGTCATAATTTAAAATATATAAACGTACTACAAGGAAAATATTGTTTTCATAGCACTGATTAATCACGACATTCAATTCACAGGAAGGTACTCCTAACATGCCTTAACTATAATTAACAACTAACCATGTTATAAATTAATGAAGCTGTAAATTAAGCATCTGCCACATTGTTACCAAGATCATAAGCCATGTCTATTGTCACTAAACACAAAGCAACAATAGAGAGCCAGTAAAAAAAAGTATTACACATAGAAATGGTGCCATCATATACATTGATTGAATGGGAAAAAAAAGTGTCATGATACTGAATTGATATAAGCAGCCGGAAGCAACCAAACCTTGATAAATCTTCTGATATAAAAAGCTAGAAATCTGGTAAAAGCTTTACCTACAGTGGCATGGTCACAATTGCATAAAGGATACACTCTTATTTGCAAAGAAATCTATATATACACAGTAGGAAAGGTATAATGAATAAAATGAACTAACTACACTAAAAAACATCATACCAAAAAGGTGAAAAAATTGACAGTTAAAAGGTTTATCTCTTGATACATGGTCTATCAAAACATGAGGCCCCAACTAAAAGCTAAAGTATTTAGATGTTACCTAAAAGCTTCTGTTTTGTCTATCCTTCTGCAGAAATATAAAGAGTTAAAGAAATGTGAAAGACATTCACTACAATAAAACAAAGATAAGGAAATGACAACATTGAAACACAGGAATTTTTTTTTTTTTTAAAGGTACAATATAGGAACTAATGAGCACCATGCTCATCAACCCTTTGGGGTGATTTTGGGCCCTTTATTTTTTCTCAAATGATCTCTTCCATTGATTTAAAATTATTTTTTTAATATTTTTATATTATATTTTCAAAATAAAAATTATAAAAAAATCCTGATGAGCACAAAATGTAGTTGAGAACTAGTATTTTTTGTTTATAGGAAAATTTGGTGTACATTTTTTTTATATTTTTTTGTATATATTTTTGTAAATATAAAGGGAAATATAGATAAAATGAAAATATTAGTGTAATATACTAATTAATAGTAAAATAAGAGATTTAAAAAATCACTTGAGGAAGTACAAACCTTGTTTGGTTTTTTGAGGGAGAAAAAAAAGTGTAAATTACTATTAACACTTTTGTTAGATTATAACCTCATTGTTCCAACTAGATTGGGTACAAAGAACTAGATTAGTCCCTTACAATGTATCAAACTAGAGTTCAAATCTCTATTAAGAGAATGTACACATTTAGTGTCTAATTATACTTTAAATAGCTCATCCTTCATAGGAGGATAATATTATGAGCTATAAAAAATTTAAGTTAACACCAGATATTTGGTTCAACTGGTAAAGGAGTTGTATTAACTTAATCAAAAATTTCAAAATTTGAGTCCTGAAAATGCAATGGTATTAATGGTAGAACTTTTGTCTAAAAAATTCCCTACTTGACTTAATTTGGATTAGTTTAATCCCCATTAATTAAATTTTTCTTAGTTTGACATGGGACAATCTCAAGATACCAGTGCTAACACCCACCAAAAAAAAAAAAAACTATAACCTGATCGTTAGTATATGTGTATCTATTATTTTGAATGTATTTGTAGTTTTATTTTATTTTTTTAAACCAGCTTGTGGCGTCAGCGCCATAATCATATAGGAAGAGTTTTTTTTCCTTCATTGAAAAGAAGTACTATTAAATCAGAAAAACTGTACGACAAACAAAATCCTAGAGGTTAACTCCTTTCACAAGCCACCCGCTCATAATATTGGAAAGGTTGATGGTGAAAGGAAACAAGAGAATCAGCCTTAAGATGTCCTGTACTCCTCAAATTCAATATATAAATTACTTTTTAAAAGTGTAATTTAATTTATTTTATAAATTATTTATTGATGAAATTATTTTATTTTAAATTAAAATTCTTAAATTATTCTTAAAAAGTAAGAGAGAGAAAGATAAAAAATAATATTATATGATTGACTTAATTTTTATTTTTTACTTAAAAGTTATGTTTGAAATTTCACTTACTTTTATTCTTTATATTTTTATTATATTAATATTGATAAAATTGATAGAAATGACTTATAAATAGAATCTGAGGGAGTACTAAGAATGTCTTTAAGAAAAGTACTATTATCAATACAGAGGAAGTTAAAAAGAGATAGACTAATTATGAAGAACAAAGCTCATTCACTTGGAGGAGGAGATCATGCAAAGGGTCGTCATTTGATATATCCCTGCCTAAGTAATTTAAAGTACGAGCACAATGGCAATCAATTTCAATTGTTTTGACCAGTGTTTTTTAAAATTGAACCGAACAGTCAAAGTGATTCAATCGTCGATCGATTTAAATTTAAGTTTGATTTATGTGAGAAAATCATTTCAACGATTGAGTTAGGTTGGGCCATTTCGAACCAGTAATCGGACCAGGAGCCAGAATCAAGTCAGAAACCAAATCCAATTTTCAAAAATCAAACTGTTCAAAAAACAAATTTTTTTAATCATTTAATATTATATTGTATCATGCAGCTTGTTAAGTCATAATAAACTTAAAATATTTAATTTTTTTAAATTAAGTAGTAATTTTATATATATTTCTTTTATTTAAATTATTATATACATATATAATTTTTTTAATTTAATTATTATGTTATCAATTTAATCATTAATTTAATTTAATTAAATAATATAAATTATGAATCACTGATTTTTTCTATTGAACATCAAATCCGAGCATGCAAATATTGGTTTTGACACCATCATTCCAGCATTTTTGCAGGCCCGTAGGAAGAGTTTTCACTACGTATCTATTTGCAGCATTAAATGATTAAAATATTACATAGATTACTAGGGGTATATAGGCAGAATATTTATCAGATGCGTTCGGTACAACGGCAGAGGCAGCAGGAATGAGAATCTAGAATGACGTATAAATGTTAAGGAAATTAATTAATTTAAATTAAACTTTAAATGTTATATTTTAAAAATTTATAAACTTGTCTCTCCCTAAAATTTATATTTATATTTTAATTTAAAAATTAAAATTTAGTAAATAAATATTTATTAAAATTTAGAACATAAATTATAAATTTATCAAAATAAAATTGTAAAGTTAAGAGTTAAAGTTGTAAATTCTTTAAATTTAATACCTAGAATTTAATTTAAATTACTTGATCACCTCCCTATTATTCTCCACCAAAGAAAGGTATGAGATTTATTTATTTATTAAAATTTAGAATGTAAATTATAAATTTATCATAATAAAATTATAAAGTTAAGAGTTAAAGTTGTAAATTTTTTAAATTTAATATTCAAAACTTAATTTAAATTACTTGATTACCTCCCCATTATTCTCCACCAAAAGAAAGGTATAAGAATCTTTTTAAATGAGAAGCGGAAGCTTTTTATTTTTAGTAATTAATTTTTTTTATTATCTCTTTTTTCCTAATAAAATCAAGAGATGTCTGTCCCTCTCTGTTTTGAATATAAAATTCACCAGAGAAAGGAGGGAAGAAAAAGGAATCTGCAATCAAAAGTCACGCGAGGAGACTTCTCTCTCTACTTCTCGGTTCTAAACCCAGAGTTCGTTGCCAAACAGTATTCCATCTTCTCTCTCTCGCACGCTTTTTTGCATTGCTCTTATCTACGCTTCTTTGCAGTGTTTTCCCTGTTTTTTAGAGTTATTGCCTTTCTATGTTCCTCACAATTAAGTATGACGGTTCAAGTTTCTTCTGTTTGTTGATGTTTCTTGGTGTAAAGACCATTACGCTTATGGAAGAATTTTCTATAGTCGGCACTTTCATTCATCTAAGCTCCAATATTATATCAATCAATATTGGAATTTACACGGATCTGTTTCAGTTGTTTAGTTCTATGATAATCGCTTTTTCTTATATTTTCAGTTTTCTTCTGATCTGCAATTTATGTTACATGCTGGACATGGGTGTTTCATAGTAGTATTTTTGTTCTTCAAAGCTGGAGGCCTTTTTCACAGATTCACGAGATCCAGTTCTCCTTTTCCTCTTTGGGTGCATGTTTGTGGATTACCGATAGATCTTTATACTTTTTGGAACCGCACAGTTTATAGGCAACAAGATGGGTGATTTTCCACAGTATGATGAAACAAGTCTGTGGCAATCTTTCAATTTAAGATTTCAAATAAGAATGAATTGGGACGCTTATTTGCATACGCATGGTGTTCTTTCTTTCGCTTCTGGACGTGAGTGTCAGTTTCAACTACAGTATGAATGATTGGTTCAGTTTTGTTTAAATTGTCTTCAACCAGGACATGTTCAGAAAAGCTGCTTAAATGGCCCTTTTAATTTATCTTCTTAGTTTGCTGATTCTTTGGTGGGTTCAAAGATTACTCAACCAAAGTTTCTTTTGACTGGTTGAATCTCAAACACAAGGTTATAGATCTACGGAGTTCTCTCTTGTGCAGTTTGTCTGGACTTTTTTCACTGTTCTGCTCTGCAGTTTCAGATGATGTCACCAAAAGTTTTCCAGCTTGGGTTTTCAAGATCATTGATGAAGATTATTCTGATTTGCCAAATGTCAATATGCATGTGTATGACGTGTTGCCAAAGGATTCATCTAGGTGTCGTAAAAGGAATGAGAGATGAAACTTTAGAAAGGGCAAAGGGGGAAAAATATAACAAAGTCATTAAAATCCAATCTTTTCCATCTCTGCTGCTTTGGGAGGTTCGTCTTCAACCAGGAATCGCCAAGTGTATCACGTTTACCGAAATCCTTTCCCATTTTCGCATATGGATCGTCTTCCTTCTCTCGAGCTTGCCACGTCTCAAATTTCACTTTGACTCACTTGAACTCAGTTGAATGTTCAAGCTTCAGTCAAAGACTCGTTCAAGCTGCTTCTACTCAATGGCGATCATTTCCTTTGGCTTTATATTTTGCAATGGCAATCCTTTCATAGAGAACATGAACATATCTCCCCTTGTTATTATGAGGATGGTGTTGAGAATCCTGCTACCAGCTCAGCGATTGCTCTTTCTTTAGGTCCCAGTTTGGGTTTCGTCTATTTTTCTTCTCCAGGTGTCAAGCGCAAGTTTTGTAATAGTTTTCATAGATTGACCTCAGCAATCAGATTATGGACCTCTGAGTTTGTTTGCAACTGCTCAAGGGTCCAAAGTGCAGGCCTGCATTTTGATTTTTCGGGTGTCTTTTATGTTTTTTGTGTTACAGGATATCTTTTTCGTCTGTGGATTCATGAAAAAACGGCTGCTTTTCAACTTCCATTGTTTCGGTAGAATCAATGGACTTTCAAATCCTAACTTCATACTCTTTTTTTTTTTTTTAAATAATGAAGGCCACGGCAAAAAGTGTACAAATGATAATAATCAAATTATGTCAATGCTTAAAAAGCTTTTGCACCCTAGAGATAATTCGTCTAAAATCTTAATGTTTTAACTATCACTAAGAGCTTGATATGAGAGCCAATTTATGCAATTGTTAGCTTCGCTACAAACATAATCAAAAATGATCATTTAATTTTTTATAATAAAATCTTTAATTTTCACGATAGTTTTAGAAAGAGGGTGGCTGTTGTTGAAATTACAACAAATAAGTGTGTGTTGGATAAAGGAAAAAATTAATTTTCCTCTCCAAAATTAATTTTTTCAGCAAAATATCCAAACAATCAAAAAAGATAAAAATTAATTCTAAGACTATACATGTGTTTTCCTATAAGCTCCGTCCATAACTTTTGCCAAAGTATGTCAAAAATATTAGGAAAAATTACAAAGATAAGCTCAAAAAAAATTACAAAGAAAACACATAATTTAATAAAAATAAAATTAAACTCTCTTCTTTTTTCTTTTTTTCTTAATAAAATTTAAAATTTGTATCTTCAAAAAATTAACATTTAGTATTTAAAAATTAAATTATATAGTAATTTATATAACTAAAAATTAATTTTGATTAAATTATCCAAATATCTTTAATTCTGTTAAAATTAATGTTAGAAAACAGTATCCAAATATATTGCGTTATAACATAATCAATTATGATTAAAATCTATCACTTAATTAATTATTTTTATAATTTATTATACCCAACTAAAATCTAAACGAACACTAAGTAAAAGAGCTTTAAGAGATTTAAAATTAATATTGACTTTAGAAAATTTGCTTTTCCAACAAAGTAAAGGTTAAACCCTTTAAAGATTCCTAAAAATTCAGCAACAATGTTAGGATAATAGTTAAGGTATTTAGAAAAATCTTTTATTCAATTCCATTTTTCATCAGAGATGATGTCTTCAATAGTAGCAGCTTAGTTTATGTTAGCGGAGCCATTAGTTTAGAAGCACATAATTGATTGCACATTAAATAGAGAATTCATACTCCTTCAATTCCTCTAGGAATTTGATAGATAGGAGGTTTAGAAGTACATTTTTATAATTCTTCATGCAGTTAGTTCTTTTTATCTTCAATCATGTTGTGATCCCTTTTCGTTACTTTTAGTTTTTTGTTGCTTCTTGCTTTTAGTTTTATGTTGCTCTTTCATTTTCGAAGCCTAAGAGAATAGTTCAACTACTCCTCTTTGTCTTTTGTTTGTAGTCATTTTACTTTGTTTAATGAAATTTTCCTTTTTATAAAAAATTAATAAAATCAAGAGAAAATTAATAGGGAGGATGAAAATAAAATACCTTTAAAATATGTAAATTACAAATAAATATTATAAAATGTAATAATTATTTTTTAGTCCCGAAAGACTTGTTTGGAATTTTATTTTTTGTGAAATGACATGTTTCTCCCTATTCCCTCTCGCTCTCACTATCGCTTCCATCCTCTACCTCCCTCACCATCTCTAGCCACATCTCCACCATCTTGAACCCCACTATCCCTCTTTAGCTAATCATGACCGCCACACACTCCAGTTCATTAGTCGTTACACTTCCCAATGAATCAAGGTTGAAAGCAATAACCATGGCAAATGGTAACTTTGCATTGTCCTCACCGGTGTCGTCTTGAACCTAAATGACGATTTGATGTTCTATCTCGTTCTTTGCCCTTTCTCTAAACTCTCAAAGATGATTATCTCTTTCTCTCTCATCCAAATGTCAATATTTTATTGATTTGGAAGTGTCAAAGCAATCCAAAAGCTACGCCATATATTCCCTTCCAAATTTCCAAATCCAACTGAATACTCAAATTGAGGTTATGTCACATATCGGAATTCATACTTTCAAATTTTTTTTTTCCATTCTATTGCTTTCTCCAGCTATTGTCCCATCAGCAGCAATCTTGACCAAACGCCATCGAATGATTTTGACAATGATTGGTGGTGGAAGAGCTATAATGGATGTGGATTCGAGAAAGCAAAGTCGAGAAAATGGCTATGACAGTTGAGGGTGAGAAGCATGTGGGAGCTGCCAAGCGAAATGGCCCCTGGCCTCAGGCTACTCGGCAATCGTCATATAAAGAAAATATTGGTCACATTGCTGCCAAGACGCATTTGATCACTCGACTTGCTTTCATGCTTCTTCGATGTTTGGGGTACTTAATTTGGTTCATCATTTGTTGCAGGTAAAATGTTTGTGTTTGAATTGAAATTGTGAATTGCCTATTTTATAATTCATGATGGTGGAGATGTGGTTGGAGATGGTGAGAGAGGAAGAGGGCGGAAGCAGCAGTGAGAATATGAGAGGAAATAGGGGCAAACATGTCATTTCACAAAAAATAAAATACCAAACAAATCCCTTGGGTTGGGACTAGCATTAATTATCACAGTTCATGGTACCTATTAGTCATTTATATATTTCTTATAATTTTTTCAATTTTAAATTATATCCACATAGTTTATTACATTTTATTTTAATTGAATCATTATAGTTTAATTCATTAGATTCTCCAAAAGTTAAAATCCTTAAATATTTTTAAAGAATTAAATCCAGAACTTCTACCCTTTCCACTTAATATTACAAAGTCTTCTTTAATTATAATAAAACATGTTAGAAGTGACTTATAAAAAAAATTAAAGAAGTATTTTTAATCAAATCATACTCTCAATGAATTAATTAATTATCATTAAAATTGCACATTCTTTTTTATATTTAATTTTATTTAATAAGATATCTCGATTAGAATTAATTGCACCTTCAAATTAATAGTATTTTTCAACAAATATCATTGATTGCATATTAAAAGACTTAAAATAGTATTTTATATTTTTTAACATCTTACTTAAAAAAAAAACATGTCTTAATATTCTTTGAATAAAGAGAGTATATTTTTATTAGAACATTATATAAATTTATATATAATTATATATATATATATATATATCAAAATTTATATAATTAGGTCATGTCTTCTAAATAATTTATATATATATATATATAGAATTTTTATCAAACAATTAATAAACATGTACCCATTTTATTAAATCAAATTTTTGTCAAAAGTATTAATCAAATTTTTGTAAACTTTAAAAGTAATTTTAAAAAAATTAATCATTTATTGATAATTTTAAGATTCAAGGGTTAATGTAATATCAGCTAAGATACTCCACAAAGCTAACCATATTAAACATATTACTATGATAATCAAACATTAACCATATAAGTTTACCATGGAAAATGAAAATTTTTATTCAAAATGGGATCTCAAGTTTTACATTTAAAAACATAAAATATTTGAAACAAAACAAGAATAAATCAAAGTCATAAAGTGTAAAGAAACATGGAATACCTTTTATAATTAAAAAACAATGAAAACACTATTTAACAATCACTTTTTCATGAACTAGAGTAATCTGTTATAGCCAACAATGCGTTTATCGCAGTTGATGATGTAGAGGCCTTTCATCATGGCCAACACACCTTTGTGCCACAATAAGCCTCCCTAACACACTGCACAAAGATGACAGCACTTTGCTATCACAGAATAAATTCAAGGGGCCAACTTTCAATACACCCCAAATCTTCATCCAACATTTGTTCAAGATGATATGAGTGTTCAAAAAAAGCTCATTCAGTGAATTAAGTAATGGCATTAGTTTTATTTTCAAATTCCTTCTAAACTTATATAATTAGGTTGTGTCTTTCAAATAATTTTTATATATAAAATTTTTATAAAAAGTTTAATAAACATGGAGTACAAATTATATTAAATCATTTTTTTGTTAAAAGTATTAATCAAATTTTCTATAAACTTTAAAATTAATTTTTAAAAAAATCATCATCATCAATAGTTTTAACTTTTAAGTATTAACATATCTAATGCTCCCTCCATTTTTTTAGGAGAAAAAACTATATCATATAATTTAAGAAAATTAATTAATTATATTAATTATGTCTGAAAATAAAATAATTGAACGACAATACCCTTTGTTAATTATATTAATCAAGCCTTTATTGATTGTTTCTTATGACTAAGAATGATAAAATTATGAGAAATAATTTAAAAAATATGTAATAAATATTTATTAAAAAATATAATTTTTCTTACATAAAAAACAAACTACAAGTGGTAGTTTCTTATGTAAGTAAAAACAGAGGGAGTAGATCAAACTATAAAGACATAATTAAAATAAAATAAATTAAAGAAATATAATTTAAAATTAAATAAAATTGTAAGAATCTATGAATTAATTTTTGCTATAATCAAAATTTTACTAAAACATTTGGGAGATTGATAGTAAAGCTCCAAAAGAAGAAATTAATAATAGTTAGATTTCTTGCCAAAAAAAGTTGCAAATATTAATTCAAATTATTATAGAGAAAAATCATGATTACAAAATAAGAGTTACATTTAAAATTTAATGTCAAAATTGAAATTCTTAAATTTATGATAATTTAAATTAATATCTGTTACTTATTTTTCAAAAAAAATTGAAAACCAAACTTTCATTTCTTTTTTCCTTTGGAAAGTTAAATGTCACTTTCTTGTTAAATTTTTTTTTTTTAGCATATCAATGAATTACTTAACCAATGAATTTTTGAAAAACAAATCAATGAAACATATTTTTTCGATTCTCTTCATATGTCATTTCTATCAACTCAATCAATATTAATACAAAAAAATATAAAAAATAAAAATATATAAAATTTTAAATATATTTTTATATAATAAATTTAAAAAAACATCATGTTATTTTTTTATCTCATAAAAAAAATTTTAAAAATATTTTTTAGATGTTATTTAAAAAGA